GATATAATCGGAGGAATCTCCTCTTCCTAATTCCAACAGGGGATAGTAATCGCATGGAACAGCTGAATATGTAGATACAAATCTTCTTCAATCCTAATGAATGGAAGGCACCTCCTCCGACGATGGAGAAACAACATGCGAGCTCGGAATCACTGTTCGCTTATCTCGGGAGGCAGGTACTTTTCGTTTGTGTCGACCGGTGGGTAGTGTCGCGCGTTGCCGGAGCAGCTGTCGTCGACGTCCGCGCTGCTGCTGTCGTATCGTCATTAAGGCATTCTTTACACCGAAAATGAAATATGATTGCGAGGCAAACCATCACCGTGCGGCGCGCTAAATATGTACAATGTCTCCCCAAGTCGACAATGAGCGTGACTGTAGCTGTTATCGGAGCATCGTCTCCTCTGAGGATCTCTGAATGAAGTTCTCTTCCCTCAACTTGACTGAAGCCGCTCAATTTCGAAGGAGAGTCGCCTCTGTTCTCCGGGACGGTTTTCGGGGCAATCTAATTGATAGATTCTGACGGGAATCCTCGTTGACGACAGCTCCACTCGGTGCCGGAATTTCTACCTTCCCGAACCTCAATTGTGCCGCTCCCGAAAGGGAGAGAGGTCTGGAACCTGCCGCCCCTCCATTTTTCTCCATCTCTCGCTGGACTGCCACAATGGCCAACCTCCAGTGCTCGTGTATGGAATTCACTTGAGCTTTGACCAAATGGAGGGAGATCCCGGTAGACTCGGATCGTGTTCGACGCAGAGCACAGCTAATCGCGGGCCAGATTCTGTACCGTCAGTCCCGGGCGCGGTCAGAGCGCTAGGCCACCGTCTTCGGTTGCATTCGCCAGTGGGATTATTCTCGGAACTATCACATAGAACCACAAGCCTGATCGTTATCGTCATTGTCGGGGACGATCGATAGCGGCAGAAACGCAACAGATGTAGCTCAGCGTCGATCGACAAGGGGAGACAAGCGATTCAGGACACAATGGAGACGATCAGCGTCTTTGGTGCAGCTTCAGCAGGTTCCATCGTTGGACAGGAGCCCAACCCCACATGTTTCGGGTCTGCCTCGTTGATGGAGGATTTCCGTTCGCGTCTATTCCAGTTTCGATGCGCCTTTGCCACGTGGAATCTATGTGTGATCAGACGCTCCATGTCGGGGAAGGAGAGCCCGCTTTTCAGGCGTTATTTCCGACAGGTTCTTTGACAGCCCGAAATGCTCGTAATGTGTCACCGAACAAAAGCCGAATGCAGCTCCGGCTTACAGTTAGAAAGGGTCACGGACGGATCCAAGCAAATTATTCGAGCCAGAGACCGGCGATACAGTTTCTCTTCTGTCTCTCCTAAATGAATATTTCCAAAATATATTTCTAGTCCGGGATCTCTCCCGGTCGAGACCACGGAGTCGGATGAAGGAGTCCATCTCAAGTCGTCTCGACAGGATAAGTCAGTAGGTCATGCGCACCAGAAGACTCCGAGGAATTCTGGTCTCGATCCGAATATGACACGCTGGGAGACTCGAGAGATCATCTGTAAAAGCCAATAGAATATCGCATGATGGTTCTGCACGATTTAAAGCGGTTTGCTTCTCAGAGATCTGCATACTCTCCGAAAGCCTCACCCAAGTCATCGTCAGTTGCGAGCCGTGAGATCGAGAAAGGCGCTCCAAGGGGTCTTTGACTCGCTTTGCCGACGGCGAACTTCTTCTTGGGACGCTGTCTCTCCTGAACGACGACCCGATTCATTGGAGTTCCCAGGAACGATAACAATTCGTTCTGCGAACGAACACCCGTAGCGTGCCGCACTTCCGACCGAACTCAAACAAAATCTGCCGTAAGTCCAGAGACCACTCACGTGTCGATTTGAAGCTAAATGAAGCGTGACATACATAAAGCCACTTCTCACTCGTGTCAACGAGCTCCCGGGGGAACTTTTTCCCTCCACAAGTCCAAACTTTCGCCCTATCTTGTCCAGAAAGCTTCACATCGACAGTCAATTCCCGTCTTAGAATTTTCGATTCCTTCCAAGTTCACATCTCGACGGTTTGCTCCGAAACCGGGTAACGATTTATTTCCAATCGGCATTGAACAATTTTTCAAAACTGAGGACGAGTGTCTCCTGGACCGGAGAGTTTAAAATCGGAGCTCGGAGAAGAGCGAGATCCGAAAACCCGTCAACTCTGAGCGGGCAACAATCCCGCGAACGGCCCTCGCCGAACAATCCTCGAGAAGTTCGGAACGAGTCCAACAGGTTCGGGAAACACAGAAAATGATTTCCAGGGGCGCTTCCCGAGATGAGCATATGCAATGACTTCGGCGGGGCGCGGAGAAGCCGTTCAGATGATCGACCGAAGAGACGGCAGACAGATTAAGGAACAGGACGAGTGGCCCGCACCTCGAAGCCTTCCCGCTGGCGAGAAGGCGAATGACCAGGAGACAGACAGGCTGCCACTCTCGCAGCGACCCATCTGGGGTGTGCATGCAAATTGCGGCGCAAATTGTGCGTTATCTTTGGGCGACGAGCCGGGTCAGACAGGCGGAGCGGGGTCTCTGTGTAGATGTTTGTGATAATTCATCTGATCTGATAAGGCTAATTCCCTCAGACACTCCGACAACGAGCGATCGGGTGGAGGCGATCGTAATTTCTACGCATGGAGGATCCCGGGGACCCGACTACCGGCCAGCCGCCGAGTCGAAAGGAACGCTCTCAGTGTTGGACATGATGACCATCAGCTTGCTCCGCCGAGTCGAGGATCGAAAAGTCCGGGCAGTATCCCAATTACTATGGGAGTCGGGATCATCGTCAGGTATAACCTAGTGTAAAACACAGCGGAGCTCCGATCCGTTGCGAATTTATTCAGAGACCAGAGGTTTGAGCAGGAATGTATTAGTTTTAGAATTCTTGCACGTGTGTATGTATATGTGTCAGATTCGGGCGGCGAGCTTGTAGTATAGTGTGTCTGCATACCAACTAGGACAAATATTCGACTTCCCTTGAAATAGACATCCGACCTACTATCGCGCCGGAGCCCTTATTCTCGAACGTTGAAAACCGTCACTTCTTTCCTGATGCAACACAAGATGTCGCGGACGTTCAAGAGCGACCAGATTTCCCTGGTCGACGTAGAATGCGCAATGTTCAGGTGTGCTTTCGAGAGAGAGGCAATGATCTGAAAATTCCACGATGGAGACTGACAAAATACCTGTTACGGAGCCCCAAGTCTGAACTGGCATCAGAAAGCGCTGAAAACTCTCACCATCCACTGATCTGACCTCCCTGCCAGCAGCGTAGTGTTGCGAGAAGTCTATCAAAAACTTCGGCCCTTCACGGCTGCGGGATTCTCTTTCAATCGTTCTAAACACCACTTCCTGCCCGGAACCGCGTTTCGGCTCCCTGCCTTCTCGAACATGCGTCCACCTCCATAATAGACCAGACTGATATGATAATTAATCACAATTCATAAATCATCCGTTCCTCTCACGGAATAATCCTCGGAGCCGCTCGCCCATGCGATCACACTCACCAATTCATCCATCGAAACGAAATCGGAGCCAGGAGCGAATCGGTAGGCAAGCCACACCCGGACGGAAAATGTTCGTATGAGTGGTCTCAGATGACAATTTCGAAATACATCACATACCTAACTATACAGGCGATCTGACTGCGGAATCCAATGACTCCGAAGATGAGCGTAGGAACCAATGCACGACGACGTGTTGAAGAGCGATTCACTCAACACGAGAGCAGTATGCCGTAATGATTGAATGCATGCGCCGCGGAAATATCACGTTTACGAGCGACAGCGCTCTGCGGGATCCGACGGCGCGATAAAGCGGACGCCGCGCGGATGAGACCCCGCTGACGAATACGTGGGTGATGGATCTATCTCGAGCCTGCACAAAAATCGCCATTAACGCGGCGGGGTCCGTCGGTTTGTCTCCCGCGAGCAAGAATCTCACGCATCTAATTTGGGGAAAAAATCCTTGGCAAAAAATCGACTTCATCATTTTTCATCCCTGTGTCCACACCGGTGTGACCACGGAGCCTCATCAGAGATCCGCAGATACGGAGGATGAGGATATCGTATGCCGCAGAACTCCTCGCGAATCCAGACAGCCACCCTCATCCAGTCAGGAGACTTTATACCTCAAACTCAATGCTTGAAACGACAGCGAAGCTCAGCATTCGACGTGAGAACGCTGTGAAGGCTCTCGCTAAATGAGTAACCGATGTTTCCGCCGCCGAATTCCACAATCGGTCTATACCGGGTGGCGATCTACGAGCTCGGATTGAGACATTCGTTCATACGGTCGCGATTCGCCGGGAACGATAATCCTGAAACATTCCGACGCCGAGGGGTTCTCGCGTACGTCATGTACCTTCGCGCAGAAAGATGAGCACACCTGTGCTGGACGAACCACGCCGGAGACGACGCTCGGTTCCGTGGAAATTGTTTTCCGGAAGGATATTCCCAAAAAAAAACTAATGATGTCGAGAGTCTGATCCCTGAGAGGAGTTCTGCATCTCATGCAAGTCAGGAATTTCCGGCGCATGATCCGTTCGGATTCTTCGAGTGGAAGGAGGACACGCGAAAATCGTATTGAAAAATATCTCACGCTTTATTCGGAATGCTTGCTTCACCATGTTTGTTCAAAATGGTCCGTCGATCAGTACGCGGGTCCCGATGTCGCTGACGAAAATTGCTTTGCAGATCCGGCCTTGATAAAAATATATTTAGGTACATCTATAACGATGGCTCGTGGACGCGATAACCTCGTCAGGGAGACTTCTGGCGACCGGGCCAACGGATTCGACATCTCCGGTACCGAGCTCTGCTTCTGAATACCGGTCCCTGCGCCGGCTCCCCGTTGGCGTACCTCTTGAGCAGAAGAGTGATCAAAACATTCGACAGGAACATGAGAATGTCCTCCGTTCTGGAGCCGATAGATGGTCACTTCAAAGGGTTGCGCTTTCGGGCGGCCCACGCACTGATCGCGCTTTCTGTTACCGGTTGACGAACGAAGCAAATGCCATTATACAAGATGCCATGAAAACTGCAACATGTTTCCCCAACAGCAGATGCTCGCGTCCTGGAACGAAACTTTGGGTCAAGGAGATTGTGTGCCGGCGTTGCAGCATCGCTTCTATGAAAGCTCGAAGGAATTGGAGACCGCCGTATAAACTGAATATAAACTGGACATTATGACGTGGATTCATCTTCGCTTCGGGCTCTGTGCAACATAGGAAATAACAGACGGGGTAAGGTACATACATGAGATGCGACTCGAGCCGTATATAGCTCGATGAAGATAGCCAGTCAGGTCGAAATTAATGTTTGGTCCGAAGTCCCGCAACAAACAAAGACAAGCACGATGTAGCGGGAAAGATAGCAGAGACAGATAATAACAAGAGCGAACTTGGGTGAACTAGTATCTGTCTATTGTCTTCGTTCGGAGCTCTAGACGGTTTGCGTTGCCCGCAAAGCAGTCGCTCCGCCTGTGGGAGGAATACAAGGACGTACCCAGAGCAAACGAGCTGGCCAGAGGAGCACTCCGAGGATTAAGAACAACAACTTTCTCTCTAGCCGTCCACAGGCGGCGTCCCCTCTTGTCCACGGTCTCTATCCGAAGTCGGATCTTTTCAAGTTGCCGATATCGAGCTGTGCGGATTTTCACTCTTGGTTCCGTCGAGGTTATGTTCAATAGCAGGCGTCCCTGATCTGGAAAAAGTTTAACTCCGTTCCCGCGACTCTTCAAAGAATTCCTGCATCTAATACCAGACGTCATATGGATAACCGCGGCTGTTCAATACGGAAGCGGAGCTCTTTGAAGTCTCCTTTCAGAACCGTACTATCGGCGCCGAGCATTTCCCATTCACGGAGAATGCCAAACGAAATGAGAGGAAATCACGCGCTCCTTACCGTCTTGGAGCTGGATCACGAAAAATACGTCGGGTATGTTATTCTCGAGAGCCGTCGCGCAAGTCACGATTAATTGCTCGCCTGACTCGAACTCTTCGCTCCACGATACCGCACAGCCGTCCCCTTCATCCGACTGACTATCGAAGGCTCTCGCGGCGAGGTCTCTCGCAACATACGAATATGCGCACGGATCGGTCTGCATTCCTATAGAGTTCCGAGCTCGACATTCCAGTCGGAAGCCTGCTGACGAGGACGATGCGAACTGTTCCTGAGGGATCTCTATGAGTGAGACCGTTGCGTTGAGAGATGAGATTCGTTTCTGAATATTGAGCCTTTCGCCGGCATTGTCAAACATATCCCATTCGAACTCCGCGGGTTCTTCTGAGCTCACTTGACAGACAAAGCTCATGAGAGACATGTCCAAGCTTTCGCGACTTATGACCGGCTCTATTGAGACGCATCGGGGTCGGTCTGCATTAGGACAATGACGGACGTTAGGTCGCATTCTGTGCGAAGAAAATCCCTAAATCTCGAACCGTTTCGAATTTCGGACACGTTACGCTTTTTTTTCTCTCCAACCACGGTCGAAAGTCCCGGAAAACGACGGCGTAGGAAGTCGGGGAACTGGCGGACTTACATTTCACTTTCAGCTGCGTCAAGCCGCTGCTGGAGTTGCCGAGAATGTTCGCCACTGAGCAAGAATAGGCTCCGGAATCCGATGATTTAGCACCTTTCAAGATGAGATGCGGACCCGTGGTCATGGGAACCAAATATTCCGGCATGAGCTTCCTGTTGTGGTACCTTCGGATAGAATCGCGGAAAAGTTAATCAGATAGGCCCCGTTCCCCCCCCCCTCGGAAGAGGCGACAAGACATGATTTGATCCGTAGAGCGATTAACCAAAGTCCGGACCCTCAGCGTCCGGCTCTCAAGCCCATTTCTGGGGCTCGAAGATCATGAACTAAAGCGTTCCGCCTCGAAGTTAGAGAAGCGCGGGGGCGAACATCGCATAATTCAATTTGGAACGAACTGAGGTTCTGCTCCGCTGGCTGCTCCGCGTCCGTAGCGGTGTTTTGTGAATCTCACAGGGTGCCTCCGAGTTGTGAATAAGCGACGAGCACCACTCTGTTTAGCATCGGCCCACAGGCACGAGAAAGAAGTTTTATATCCAAGACTTTTGATCAGAACTCCGCGCCTCATCAAACACCTACGAGCGAACAAGCGAGCGAGAGAGCAAGTTCCGGTCTAGCCCTCAGAGATATGTTGTACACGGAGCCCTCATCATATATAATTAAAGAAAAGATTCCAGCACGCGCTGCTTCGAGTCGAACGCTTACCACAGGACGGTGTGAGGTTCCGGATTAGCCTTGAACTCGCACTCGAGGTATACATCATCACCTTCACTCACGGCGAGACTCTCGTAGCCCAGGATGCTGAGGCGAACTTCTGGCGAATCTGTGAGCGGAATCATGAATTATTCTTCGACCCACGATGGCATAACTCCTACAGGCGCGAACCTCCCAGCTGACTGACTGAGCGGAGTCCCGCAAGCAAGTAGGTTTATTGGGAGCCGCAGTCGCCCGCACTGATTTTCCTTGAGCATGCCTTGCCCGCCTGGATCGTGTGATCAAACATGCTCCGCTCGGAAAAGGAGATAGTATCCATGATGGGAGGCCTTTTCAGAACCCATCGTCTTGCCGAAAAAAATCGGAAATTGATGAAACATATAGATATGCCAATTCAATGAGGGCCTCCCTGATGGGGGACCGTTTCCAAGCGGGAATAGTGTGGGTAGGCGAATGAACATATTCCTGAATGATAGCGCATCTCATCACACCCCCATGACGGCTTTGATGAGTAGCTTCGGTCGCCCCGTCCCTTCCGCCGGATGAGAGCATTCTGGGATGCAAGAGACTATGTATGTGTTCCCTCCGAGGCGAGAAAAGATATAGAACGCATGGAATCGCCCTCGAGATCCGCTCCAAGCCCCCGGCGCTGACCACCGGCTCCGGAACGATGCCGGTGAGACTGTCGATTCGAACTTCTGAATCCGCTCCCGTCGACAGTCAGTCAAGCAGGGCCTTCTCGCGCGTCCCGGTGATTCTCTGAAGCTCTGAACAGTCGGACGTCCTACTCACGGTAGATGTTGAGTCTCGTGGATGCGACTCGCACGTACGCCGACACCGTGGGGTGTCGAGCGACGCATTCGAGCTGCTTGCCTTGGTATTCCCTGCGAGCGGTTAGCATCAAGACGCTTGATGTTTGCGTGTCACCGTCGTCATAGAAAAACGGCTCCAGAAGTTGACCGTCGATAAGCCACGAGAGGATCGCTGGAGGTCAGGAACCGTACGCCTTGCAATGGAACTCGCCGGTAGAGTTTTCGGTGATGCCAATCTGATCCCGGGGAACGCTATTCAACTCGATACGCTCGGTGGGAACTGCAGGAAGATCAAGGACTTATCAGGATGATGATCCCGCGCACGTTCCTCGAGTGAAGCGCCGTTTCCGATACTCACGATTCATTGCGATTGTGACCGATACTCTGGATACCATCGACTCGATCGGAACTTGCTGAACTATACACGTGATATTCCTGTTCAGATCTTCTCTCCGCAGAAAACGTAGAACGGCTGTGCTTCTTATCCATCCCTCGTCTCCGGGAGTCATGTCTGACTTTTCCCGTTTCTCGGTCATCATCAGTTCGCCGTAGTCCCATCGTATCGTCGGCGCAGGTATCCCTTGCCGGACTCGACAAGTGAGCCGAAGACTTTCGTTTATATTCAAAGGTCCAATCTTGCCTTCAATACGCTGGCCAGCTGCGTCGATTATCTCGGGATCACCAGACGGCACTAGGTGAAAGATTGAGAACTTTGTGGATGCTGGACAGCTTAGACGAGAAAGCAGGCTGGCAAGCAATCCCAAAGTGTCTATCCATCGCGAGCAACATCGATGGATATGTTTCGCCGGGGGAGGACGATGGGCTCTTCAGCGGCTAAATATAGATTGCCACTTACCTGTGACAGTGAAATCGATGCTGTGATCTACTCGGGTTCCGTCAACGTGTCGCACCGAACAAATGTATAGATCGCTGTCGGCCGTGTCTATTCGCGCAATTTTCAGGAGTGCAGGCTGCCTGCCGAGGGAGAAGAAGCTTCGCCCCGTCCATTCATCGTGGGTTATGTGGTTCGGGGAGTCGAAAACGCCCCGACTCAGGCTGCGGCTTCCGTCCAGCCGGTAGATGACCATGTTCTGCAATTTCACGGGCCTGTTGAAGCAACTCGCCGTATTCCCCCATTTCTCCTCGTGGACGACGGGGAATTAGGGGGCGAGGTCGACACTCGTATTCGTCCAAATGACAGCGATCGATACCGGAAAATTGGATTGGTGGGAAGGGTTCTGGCCGTGAGCGAGATTCCTTTTACGCGCATTGGAAAAAAAGATTCAGAAGGGAGCTCACTTTTGAAAGTCTGCTCCACACGACTTCTTCGATGACTGACGCCTCGTAGAATCTCAAATCGCATGGAAGTGAAGCTTGTCCGTCGTCGATTGTTGCATAGACGTGATCTGTTCTGCCTGTCACTGAAAATACGATTACATCCCCGTTACAATCTGCTATTATCCTCCTCGGGGGACTTAGGGACTGCTGTTAGGGTCTGACGCTCCTGGGTCTCTTCCCGCTCCAGGTCACCCCGGCGGTGTCGTACCCGTAGGTTCCCATCGGCGGAGAAGATCATTTTCTCTGCGTGGACTGATATGAAGCTGCGAGCTCCATCGATTCCGAAATTTTCCTCGGGCCGCTCTATCCTGAGTTTGCCCGTAGGACACGGTGCTCTCCGATGCGTTTTCAGAACATCTGCCACGCCGTATGAAACGCCAGTATCCGAATAACAGCGCACCTGCCTCCGGTGCGACGGACGATAGAGGGTGGAAACGCATCATGCTTTCGAAAATAGGTGACCATACCTGAATCGAGAGTCACTGCGATCCATTATTTATGGGGCCAGGCGGACCCGGAAGAAGTATTTTGATCGAGCGAGGTGCGTCCCCGATTATTATCTGAATACCCCAGGTTGACGGCTCGGCGTCGCTCTATTCCTGCTCGTACTTGTCGCGTATGTGATGCAGTATCTCGGAATCGTTGGTCCGAATTCACGCGGGGGCCGGAGGATGTTGATCTGATTTCATCCGAGACCTCACGATAGGTCGGATGCAGGCTCACGGAAAATTCTCTAAAACCCCAACACACGTCAGACGCACAGCTGCCGGAATCGCCGGTCCAAGTATTCCTCCGTCAGGTCGGAGACGAAGTTATGCAAGCAGTGAGTTTTCCCGTATTCACCACCGCCGCGTCGAAAGCACCGATACCGGGCTGGCAGAGGAGCCAGTACGCTCGACTCGTTTGTGTGGAGGGAGTCCCTCCTGCTTTTGTCGTTATTAGGAGAGAGCTGCGGGCTCGCGTCACAACAAGACTCGAATTGCAAAACACGCTCCCCCGTCGAGATCCAGAGATCGTGGACGAAGCTAGGGACGAAAAATCACTCAGGGGGCACAGAAGGGCGCCACGTTCGACACATCCGGAGTTATGCAGTCTTCCCTCGATTTTTTCCTTCTCGAAGGAACCCCGACGATCTCACCGGACCTCCGACAGCATCAAGTCCCCGCAGCAATTTACCTTCGATCCAGAGCGTTCTTTGTCAGGATCTACTTCAAGCAGCGGCGGCTTGGCTAATGGTTCCTCAAAAGGTGTCGTAATGGACCCTCTGCCACGCATCCAATAATGATATTAAACCCACCGACCTCAGCGCGGTTGCGGCAAAGGTCCCGGGGGACCGTCTCAAAAATTGGTTTCACATCAGAGGTCGCTTGGGATATTCTGCGATCGGCCTCTCACGAGATTCCAGTAATTCTCATCAAATGTCTTCCAGATTCTTGAGGCAGTCGGCAGATGAACGTGAACACGAAGCCTACCGAGCCTCGAGTGATACCAGGGATCCCATTGTCACTCCCAACTGGTCCACGAACGGAGTAAAAATCGGAATATACAGCTATTGGGCTTCCCATGGACTCCTATAGGAATCCGAACTCGATGGTGAGCTCTTCTGAACGCAGGCCGACTGCCGCAACGAGATCTCCCGGGGCGAATCGTCTGAGTCGACGCGGGAATCGACGTGTCGCTCTGTATCTCAGGATTTTTTCCAGCTCTAAATCTCTGAGCCTATCCGATGAGCTGCCCGAGAACATCCGACGTGGAGCAGAGTTGACGTGGCGTGCATGTTCAAGACGGGACGTGAGCGCATCAAACGTTTCGGAAGGCGGAATTCTCTATTCTCCTCTCCTGTTCCTGCTTCGGAGCGCACGTCAATATCCGTCAGCTTTCACAAATAGAAACATATCATAAGCATCGGTCGACGGAGAGTCCGCAGCACTGGCGTCTGCTCAAACGCTGACCATTGCCGCGGGGATCGTTTCCCAATGGCAGGAACGCGGTATATTCGACCGGTATCGGCTCCCCGACGCAATCGGAGCTCGCTCTGAAGGTATATCAGGCGAGGATATACTTCGAGATTCACGATTACTGTGCTCGATTATCGCCTCGTTTTCTCGACGGAAGGCAGTGTTCTGAAGCACAAGTACTTACCTATCCTTCGAGGAAGGCATTTCGAGCATCTCGGTGCACTGAGGCTCCCGCTCCGCGCAAAAAAACGCTCAGACTCCGTCAGACGTCGCGAATCCTCTGGGTCAGAGCATTCAACCTTCCTCAAAGTTTCAGAATAATTCATCCTTTATCATCTCCCACGAGGATTTTCGCCGTGCTCTTATTTTCTCATCATAAAGACGTGGGAGCACATTCTGAGAGAGAGAGATACTCATCGAACTCAAGGTGATACGAGCGCGAGAGGGGGTCGACGGTCGACTCCTAACAAGATCCGCTTAAAAGCGAGGGCCAGATGTGAAAGTCGACCTAAATTCCGGCTTTGTTCATAGGCTCAGTGACGAAGCTGTGTCAGATGCAAGGAGATCTCTGATTTCCCTCCCGGGGTCGATGGGGAACCGGGTCACGCAAGGCTGATGGAGAGGAATCTCTCAAGAAATCGGGATAATCAAGTCGATAATGCGTGGGCCTCACCAAGACAAGATTCACATTCCCAGAGAGCGGTCAACATCCACAGGAGTCACTAAAAAATTATTCCGGTTGAGTGGACCTTCGATTAGCTCAGACAGGGGAGCGACTTCGCTTAGGCCCATGACTCGGACGCACAGAGTGCAATTTAGCTCAGAGAACTCTTTGTGGTGAATATACTTCCGCGCTAACAGACCACCCTGGTTGCCAGGGTAACACTTCGAGGGAGCCCTCGCTTCGAAGATTCCCATCTCTCTATTTATCTTCTTTCGGACTTCGAGGGAAATTCTCGAGAAGTGAGGAGGTTATGAGTTGTTTGAGATTCGAATTCGGTAACCTTTCTCAATTATTGCCTCCGCGGCGATACGAGTTCTTTTGTCAACTTCAGGGGACAAGAAAGAAGACCAGAAAATTAATCACGTTTCCTGGTTTTCTGGCGGTGACGAGTTGTCGAGGCAACTGTGGGTCGCGCACCTCAAAAGACATGAAGACAAATTCTCCGTTGGTCCACGATTCCCCATCTACTGCCCCGGCGGGGCTGGTGAGAACTCAAGTTTTTTGGAACAACATGAAGCCTGGCTTCGCTGTTTCCGATTATGCTCCCCCGTTGAGAGTGAATCACGCCCGCAATTCAATTCAGCGAGAGAGGCAGCGGAACGGGGGAAAAATGTGGTTCGGAGCAGCCCTGATCGAGAGGGAGTGAGGATGGAGTCGATCATCGTGAGGCACAGTTGGAAAAGCGACCGCGGGGCTCTTCTGGATTGAGTATTTCTGCTCCAATCAAGCCCCGGCAGCTTCCGCGGAATCTCGACGCAGCCGATAACAGTTCTATGAGTTTAAAAGAGAATCCAATAATCCCCGCGAATTCATTCTCCGCATGGTTCGCGAATGAGACTACCTGGACCCCATTGTTTTCTCAAATTTTATTCCGAGGGTTTCCAGTTGAATAGCGCTGCAAACGGGCGTCTGGATAGGAGCACTTCTTCTCTCGGATCGACAGGAACCGCTCGCCGACCGTCCGAGCGAAGTATCACCATGGCTCTCCAGATTCGTGCGTTCGAGTCATGAATTCTTCCTCGGTACTCCGAGTGCTCAATAAACAGAGAAGGTTGTTCCAGTTTAATCTTTATTCAAGCCCCTCCCCCTCCTGGGAAAAGTCCGGAAAGCCATGAGGTCCGCTGACGTGCCACTCTAATACTTAGCTCGGGCCTGAGCTCAGTTCATTGAGGCCATGCCCTCGACATACTCGATAGGACATGGCCCTGAGGTGCTCCACACAGATCTCCAAAGCTCGAGACCAGAGCACATTTATAATGTCTCCGAGTCCTGATCATCGTTCATGTGTTAACCATCGATTGGATCGGGAGACTGAAGCAGAGGAAAATATGTGGAAAAAACGCGCAGTTGTTCTGGGATATTCATGGATTGAATTTGACGCAGGTTCGTTCCTAGCCCCCCCATTAGTCAAGTTTTTTGTGTCTCCAAAGCCCATAATTAGCGTGGCAGGAGATGACGTGGTTTAACGTGACTCTGCGGACCTCTAAGAGCCCGAAGTCACTGTCAGTAACTCTGCGACGTTTCGGGCTCCTACCGGAGAGGACGCTTACGGAATCCGTAAGATGATCCTCGTCTCAAGCGACGACGTGACGTCAGAGTTACGTCGGCTCACTGGAGGCACGGGACCTCGGCACTAACAACAAGGATGATTAAGCGTTTCGCTCGTCAACGCTTCATTCTGGCTTCCGCCGATTCGAATACGCAGAATCCTGCTGATCGCTCCTGGAATCTGGAGACTCCAGGGCGCGGTGTCGGGGCCATCATCACGATACCGCTCATTTCGTGCGCCCTTGTTGTCGGCTCCACGGAGAGATTGCCCTCATTGAGATTCTCCGGGATTTCCGAAAAACTAAGCCAACCTCCCTCCCCCATGATGAGTGGGAAACACTTCATACGGAAAATCAATCACCGAGATACGCACGGGGACGCAACGGCAAGCTGAAGATTGGGTTGAAGCGTTACCAGGCGACCTGAGTGATCTGTTCAGCCCCAGATAATTTTATCCGCGCCTCTGTGCAGCCGTCAATCAACGTTGGCTAGACTCTGCGTCACCCGCAACAACTTCGTACCTACCTCCCGACGAAGCCCGTCCTCTGGAGAAACAGCGGGACGGCACAGACCAAGGAAAAACAATTCGGTTTAGACATCAGACATTCCGCCGGAGAGAAAGGAGGATGAGCGATCGCAGACAGCGAGCTCGGCCTATGACTCGCGACGTAGAATTTCCTCGAAGCGTCTCAGTGTAGAGTCTCCTTGATGTCGATCTCGAATAATTCAATACGCGGTCCGAATGAGATTTGCAGGAACGCCTTCGACGTCGTCATGTCGACAGCGCCGACAACCATGAGCGATCGAGGACGGATAGGAACGAATTCGCGGAGCAAGCACGGCGGCCGAACACGCATATGTATCCGTGATGAGAAAACACGGAACCTACGGGAGCCATCTGCGCCCCCTCTGAGAATCTCCAAGTAGAATAGTTTCGTCGATACAACGCGATTGATTCAGATCGGAGCGGGGGGGGGGCAACAATCCGCCGGCTCTCAATATTCGCTCGAGCTGTGTATGAGAGCGTCCTGTTCATTCAAAAGACGTTGACCGGAGGAACGTCGATGGGAGGGAAGGGAATAGGAATCAGGGCAATGAGAGGATGCGACTCGGGAATCCCTCTCTTAGAACTATGCGAGCTCGCTGAGAGTCTCATCCACGTCGCAGGAATCATCGATAGTTTTTGCAGGAGGTGAAGATCCCGCTGTTCCAGGATAGCTACTCGATTCGATTCCTGCGCTCCGTCGCGGTGGCGAATATCATATTCACAAGAGTGACAACTAAGAATAGAAATTCGAGAACTTTATCGAGAGGAAACGACTCTGGCAGACCTCGACAATGAGAGCTTAGCCGCGATGTCACCAGCTGGGCGGGATCAGGAGGAATGAGAATCCCGAGTGGGATTGGTCACGATTTCGCGAGCTCCAAGCTTCGGAGTAGCTATCCGGTTCAACGAGGACGTAGAAATCGGCGAGTTCCATTCAGCGCTTGGTTTTCCACCGAGTATCTATATTCGCTCAGTAGTTTGTAGGTATCTCTTGGGAGCAAGTCGCGAGCCATTGTCGGCGATCGCGTGGAATAAGTGAAACGGGATCCCCGCGAAGGCTCAGGCTGCAATGTCCATGCTCCTCCCATCCCGCTGGGATGGGGGAAGAATGGATGATGCAACTGACTGAGACTGGTTTCCAATATGGAGAGAGCGTCATCTTCGGGGAAAACGTATGTCGAAACTGTTCGGCTGGCGTCCCTCGACCGGTGACCTCCCGATTCCACTCCGAGTACCGCGGTCTCTTGCGACTGGCAACTCTGGAACGCTGAAGATCTTCTTTCGGATCATTTTTATCAGTTCAGTTTCTGGGAAACCAAGTTCTCGGGATCATCAATCACAAGTTCTCGGATCGCTCAGAGGGAAACAGGAGCATCGAACATCGACCGCAGCTAATCATGGGTGGAGCTATGAGTAAAGGTGCTAATTCTCAAACGATGAGTTTGACACACGAGGACTGGCGACGCAGGCGATTCGAAGTTCGCTCCGATCACTCACTCTGTCGATTAGAGCGAATTCGTCATCAGGACCATTCTCGATCGGGAACTCTGCGATAATTATTATTAGAGGAAGCGCATTGGCTACCGACGTTGTAGGAAATATCTTGATATCTCAAGTTTTTGAAAGACGAATCAGGTCTCGAGCCACAGAGAATTCGAATTTGATGTTCGTCGCTTGACAAGAGAAGGGCTCCCATTTCGTGTCCGTCACTCACGGCAGGTTGCCGCTTGATAAGAGTGGGGAAGCTCCGCCGCAGGAGCATTTACGGCTCTGGATGCCGCGTCGCTGCGGGAACACTCCACGGAAGCGCATGAAGTCTTCACGTCTGCGTGCATGTTTGTGAGTTTAGTGGACGCTCGCGCGTGACTGACGAAGAGCACGAAATATTCAAGCGTGAGCGTTTTCGCGTCTTTCGTTAGCGCGAGTAAGTATGTTCGTGCCTGTATATACATTCCGGTCGTAAATGTTGTCACTAAACGGTCATGTTCCTACGTAACTACTTGGCAGTAAAGATGCGAGAGATAAGATAAAACCCCGTGCGGAGCACAACACGCTAAAAGAAATCACAGGGTGCACTGCAAATCAACTCAGAGAACATTTTGACATCCGCCGCAATCTCTTCCCGCACGGTTCACGAAGATGAACGATGGATGTACCTCGGCATGAGTGACACGCTGAGGGGTCGGCTGCATCTGGCACGTTGATGCCCCGAGTTCGTCCCGAGGTTCGCACTCACGAGCGAGCCACCCATCGAATGTGGAAAAGCTCGGTCGTCCCCCTTCCGCCGCTTGTGGATGCTCCCGAGTCAAGTTTCCCGAATTGCGGACTCTGGTTTTTCCTGTTTCCGAATAGCCGAGTAGCAATGGAGCGGAAGAATGTTCCGAATCCCTGATCACGCTGAGGACAGCTGGAGAATAGGTTTTCGGAGTTTCTCATGAATTCACAAATCTTGTGGATTGAGTAATCATCCCGATGCCCCAGGAGCTCCGAGGCCGGCACATCGATCTCAATGAGGCGTAATCACGGAATAGGGGGACAGATCGCACGGACGCATGAGACAGCTTCCGACCGGTCCTACTCGAAGGATGAGCGTCGATGCCAGGAGACAGAGGGTCGGCTGATGTATTGTCGGGTCGTTCTTTCGCCGACGATGATATCTCGAGGAAGAGCGTACTCAGGTGTGTGCATCATTCAGCGTCGAGCGAGCGTCTAATTCTCGTCCACCGTTGCAGGCACCATAGAGCTCGCGTCTTGCCACCTGTGACTGCTCCAAATGCTCGTCGGGAGATACCTTTCCGCACTTGTGCGACTCAGCTCCGGCAAGCTCCGTTTCGTTCACGATTTTCCGCTCGAAATCCGTCGTCACCGTGTCTGAAGACGGGACAGGCTCACAGAGTTCGCGATTGAGTCGAACCGCTCCGGTCACCTTGTGGGGGTTGTTCATGCGTTCGTTACTCTTCCCCCGGGTTGACTCATCTGTCTACAGACACTTGAGATGTCCGAGAGGGGCCTGAACCCATAGCACTGAGTTTCGAAATTTTCAATAAATAGCGTCGTTCCGCTCGACCGACACACGACCGTCCCTCAAAACAGCCTTCCCTTCCTTGAAAAGTCCTCTTCTCAAACCTCCTCTGCCGCCTTGCCAAGCTCATTGACTCCAAGGAAGTACTTTGTTTCGTTCCCTTCAATTCAATGATGTCTCTTGCCCTCTGAAGACTGAAGGTACGAGGACACACTCCGCCTGCAGCCTTCTCAGACCTCTGGGGGCACATTATGCAACTTGTGTTATTAGTTATGAGATGATACGCTCAAAAGGGTGTTGCCTGATCCAAAAACTGGAAAAAAAATCTTAACACGACCGTCAAACAGCTCCTTGTTCTCGACGACTCCGACGAGGGAGCGCTGTAGCACCTCTTGCAGTTCTGCGCGACATCGAGTCCTCACAGGACATCTCGCCCCTCGTCGAGTCCTAATTAAAATTGAGAACTGTCCTGGCGGGACTCAGAGCTGAAGTCGCCGAAAAATAACCGGCACCTTCAACATCGCGCCAAGTCGGTCAGTCTCCACGGGCTCCAGGGGAATCTTTCTCCCCACGCGCCTCGTCCCCGGACACACAGACTGCCCGCCGGGGATCAGAACGGGACTTCGCTTCCCCTTGAGATGGTTCTCATCGAAAACTATGACAGGCCCAGATAAAGAACTTAAACACTTATAATTTTGACCCTCTCTCGGAAGAATCGAGTGGGTTGCCGAGATCACGCGAATGGCATTTCTATTTGAATCAGTTCTGAATGCCATCGCGATCTTCGTGAATCTTGTTCGAGCGCTCATTCAGGAGCCAATCCAGCGATCGGAGATGCATCTTGAAACACGCTCTCTCCGCTGGGGGCTTCCGGATCTCTTTGAAGTCTCGATCGATTTTTCTCACACAGTTCGAATCATTTCATCAGTCGCGCACAAATTCTTCTTGGGGACACAATGGAGCAGTTGATTTCCCTCTCGCATGCGGGAGATTTATTATCATAGAGAGCGTATTCGACACGTGCCAATCATGAGCGTACTCATCGCCCCGAGAGATTTCCCATGGGGAATTGGCGGAAGATTCCAGAACGCTTGCCCTGGGAATGGTCGGTAGACTGAACTTCAATCGCACCGATTGTCAGGACGGAGTACTGAACTTCTCCTTTCCTATGGAGTCGGCGGAGCGGGATCAGGATCAGTCCGAGAAGCAGAGGGAGGAGGAAGAGACGTTGGGCATCAGACATGCCCCATCGGAAGGAGAGCGACTGTCTACGAGGTTTGCTCGGCTCGAGGATCGCGATCCGTTCCAAGGAATCGACTGGGTTCCGTTCCAGGGAAAGCATGCTCTGTCAACCATAATCAATCACCGATGCAGCTACCCTTAGGCTTCAAGTCCGTCGAGAAAAAATCGAGCATATGCGCGACTACCGACTTTGCCTAATTACGCGGCGCGCCAACGGTGTCGCACATCAGCTCGTCAAGTAGTCGGTCCCTCAACGAATGAATGCAGCCGACGGACAAAAGGAGGAATAACCGCTCCGGATACGAAATCGGAAACTCCCCATGTTTCCCGCTTCGTCTTCACAGAATTAAGTTCGGAGACTTCCGGTATCCAGCCCAATCGAAGCTAATCGTCTGGCAAAACAGAACACCGAACAAAGTCCGAATCGTTCATAAGGGGTTGAAACAATGCTCTTCCACGCCACCTGAGCTCTGAAAGGAGCTTGACAAAGTTTCACTCTGGAACTTCGGAGTAGAGGAGCATGCTTCCCAGCGAGGACGGACGGGGTCGTATTTCACTCGGAACGTTCATTCGCGACGATTCGCGGAGCGACGCTGGCCTGAAGGACCCATTGAATTGAACGGCTTGAAGGGATTCCTTCAAGAGCGCAAAGAATACGCTCGGGGGAGGGTACGATTCACTGACAATTGAGTGAAGGTATTGCCCTCCGATATCGACCGAAGGACAAATTGGGACCGAGCGTAGTTCTAAGAGTAGAAATGGTGTGACTTCAAACCGCTCCTATTGTAATAAAACAATCCCGTTGATCCCTGCGCCCTGATTGCTCCCGCTGCCCCCCCCCTTTACCGTAGGACGATGGAGAGTAATCCTTTGGGAGCCGAATAAAACGTGCAATATCAACTTACCAGTTACTTGTTTCGGACTGGCTAAACCGGCGAGATCAGCCAATATGGCTAGGAGCAGGGACGTGAGTTTTTTGTGCGGCATGCTCAACTCGACGCTGACCACCGTCTGAGACTCAGTTCACAGAGAATTTATCCAAGTGACAAAGTCAGAGGAGCACCTTTTGTGAAGCTTGAAGGGTAAACTTTTTTGAATAGCGACACATCATGCCGAAAAGTGGCCCACGGATATCCTCTTGAATAAGCGGGCTTTTTATACGACTCACACGAGACCCACAACTAGTACCTCCTCAATAGGAATCTAGCGGTTTTTTCAAGCCCGTCAGGACGGTAGGCCCAACTTCTGGGAAAGGGTCGGTGGAGAGTCGCAGATGGAGAAGAGTCCCGCAACGTCACGCAAACCGGCCACCACTAACTCTACGGCCAGTTAGCGAGGCCACTCGTTTTAACTCTTCGGGCCAGATTCCCTGCCGTCCTTTTACCATGATGAGGGGAAATAGCACGAGTCTGCCCGAGAGGTCCTCTTTTGCCGCTTGGTGGCCCCCTTCCCGCACATCCACCACCCGGTCTCTTCTTCATTCGGCGGGCGGCAGCGACGGAGTTGACGCAAGAGGGACGTCCTGATTACGGAGCTACTGCATGGCGAACTAACGGGTGGTCGTTAGTCATACGACTATTTCGTCAGACGGTTTCTCTTCCTCGACGTCCCCGGTTTCGCTTTCTGGTCGCTTCCAACGCATGATAAAATTCCCTTCCGATATCAGAAAAAGGAACTAGAGTTAAAACCTGCTCCCCGAATGAGAATCGGGACTCCGGGAATCAGCTCTGATCTTGAACAAGCTATCTGGGCTTCTACTCCGAATCGGAGCTCCTGACAGAGTCCAGCACTCGCTTGCCGCTCCTTCCTTTGGTCCTCGTCGCACTTCAAAAACATACGAATACTAACAACATTGGAATTTCCTCGGGATTATGTCCTGGGAGGAATGCACATGCTTAAAACGCGGAGGACCATGGAAGGATTACCCCCTATACGAGCACGCAGCCGAGAAGATTCTCGACTCGACCTAGACGTGATACTGTGATATTGCTCATCAGTTAGCTACTAGTCAAACACCCCGGGACGGGGGTTTGAAGGGTAACCAATATCAATATATTTCCCGGGAACAATCAGCAAATTGTTGCCACGTGTACCTTGAATTCCATTCCAGAACCCTCTCACAGGCATTGTCATCGCCGTGCACGAGGATCACAGCTCGGGTCCGGAGCTTCGACAAATAATCCCGCTACTTGCTTCTAGCCTCTTTAGTTCGTATCGGATTCTAATCATCTGATCGCATTTACCTCTCGGTGAGACGGGGAGATCTCATCCGTCTTGATAGAAAGTACTCGAATCTTCGGATTTTCCTCTACGCGCAGCAACGGCTCATGGCCTGTTGGAAGGGGATTCCAGTCAGACCCATCCCTTAGCTTCTATCCTTTTCTCCCGAGATTCCCCGGACTCGCGTTGTCCCATCTCGCGGGGCTTCCTGTGGGGGAGTCGCGAGATCTCTGCCTCAAGGAATCATTTCTCGTCGATCGATATGTTCTTCCTCCCCATTCATTCCGCTCCCTGTTCGGCTCCACGGTCCCTAACTCACAAGCTTCCCAAACTCAGGTATCGGGACAGGTACGGGGGCTGAGGAATGCTTCGACAGCACCGAACGTCCCGCGCGAAACACTTACTCTAATGTCGGGCGGAAAACAGCATTTCCAGTCGGCGGAGAGTCTCCCTCTATACTCGATGATCCTGAACTATGTACAAGGAAATCACGGAAGCTCCTCCCGACGACTTCTCATGATATCTCACCACACGTTCTAGAATTTGAGTTTTGTTTTGTTATTGCCGGCATTGAGTCGTACCTCCTGACGAGGATATTGAGCGGATGTTCCCAAGTACGGCACGTAAGGAACTCCCAACATGAGCATAGGGAAGACGTTCACTTTTCCCTCTCAGGAGATGTCCATCCTCCTGCCGATGACTTCCCTCAAATTCCGTCCATGGGAAGCATTAGTGCTTGTGCATTCCCTGCTCATGAGAACCATGTTCTCTACAGAGAGGCTTTCCGGGAAACAAAATGTTTCCAAAGCTGCTCCATCAGAGTCCTGCACTTTGGCCGCAAAGACGACGACCATGATGATGGCGGCGGAGACGACGACAACAAGAGCCGCCCGCCGTCGACCAACGACTGACGAGTGGGGCGGACCGCTGGAAGATAAATACGGGAGAGGAAGAAAGCAGCACTGGAAGACAGAAAAGAACCATCTTTAGGCCATTCCGCGACAAGCGGGCTAGCTTTTTAGGAGCAAGCTTCCATCTGCGGCTAAGCGTCTTTTCCATTGCCTTATTCTTCTTCCTTTTGCTCGCCTCATCCCCCGGCACTTGTGTTAGCTTCGCTTGACTTGCTCTGCTTTGTCTTGTATCGGCTTCCCTAGGCACGGCTGGGTTTGTCGGGAACTTAAGTACTGGTCTTTGTCCTCTGCGTCAATCGATGAGAGCCGCGCCAAAGGTAGATAATTCAACTGTCATGCTTTCTCGAGTTGTCGTTTATGGGCCTTCCTTTTCTGTGGTCGGAATCCTGACAACAGAACAGAAAAAGGCTTTTTGAAACAGATGGAAGTCATGACAGTTCATCTTCGTGATGATTCCCCCTTATCCACAGCTCCATCGGACTTTCGGGTTGTTCATCGTATGGGAGAATAATAGAGCTCGCCACGCGACTTCCAGGAAGGACGATAAGGGACGAGCCATTCCGCTGATCTATGGTAGGGTGTGAAACCAATGTCGACGCCTGCATTATCAAATCAATGCAGTCCCTCGCATCTATTTATTCGGAAACTTCATGTTCTCCCCTGGCTATATTCTCAGTGTGGTTCGCTAAAAGATGGCCCATGCCCAATTGTATGAGAGGGGATCGCTGATCGACATCTTTTTCCAATCGAACGCCGGATCGGAACTGGAAAGAGTATCTAAGATCCTGGCAAAGACTTCGAACGGGGGACACGGAAATGACGTGCTCGGAAACCTTCGACTGCCACGTTGGTGGCTCGTAGACTCATAGCTCGAGGGAGTACTCTTCTTGGACTTGAAGAAGCGAATTCTACCTGAAAATATAGATTCACCAGCGTTCGGCGCGCCCTCCGGGCGCACCTAACGCTGGATCGGTGCGCTGCTGGCGCAAGCATTACCACCGATAACTTAGTTTTAAGCATCGTCTGAAACCGGAACTCAGGCCATTCGCTATCCAAATATCCGGAAAAATGAGCGATGTCCTTCCGAAAAGCTGGCGGGAGGCGATTGCTCTTCACGGAAAGCTTATTTGGTTGAAATAATACTTCTCTCTTGTCAGATCCCGCTGCTGTTTCCCCCCTCATTCAGCCGAATGCTGAGTCAATGAGCAGGATAATACGAAATGATGTCGAGTTCCGACTGTCTTAGAGCATGAAACGATCGAAGCGGATGCGGCTCCGAAAGGCCCGAGCACTGTGACCTAGAGGAGCTATCGTACCCATGAAAGATTGCTTTCCGTCTGATTTCGTCGCCTCTTCTGAGGATGTTATTTTGTCTCATCAGCGAATCTCATCGATTTTTCAAAATCTCAAACGGCCAGGATCGAGACCCAATTGCTTGAATCGCAAGGCGTAGACGTTCCTCCACAGTCCCGATGAGTCTCCTCCACGTAGCATCGAAGCAGAACGGCCCGCCTGAGTTTCTGCGTGATGCGGAAAAGAAAAAAGGAAAAGCGGGTACTTTATCGGGGGGCGCTTAGCGGAGGGAAGGTGGTATTTGGAGTGAATAAGATATATCCGTATGCTCGAATGGGACGCTCCCTCGCTGCGCAAAGTCATGGATTTCTGAAAATAACTACAGCAATACAGACAGACAAGACGACACATAGCCTCGGTGTTCTGTGCGCGGGAGAGGAATCACGGACATCAGCGGTCTCGACGCCGACGCGCCACATGGAATGACTTTGAAGCACGGGCAGCGACCGCGTCACAGCGCGACGGCTATAGATCGAGCAGATCCTCTCCGGAGACTACATACTGATTCCGGGATGAAGTTCGAGCTTGAGATAGGCTTTTGAGCGCAAGGGGGAGGCGCATGAATTGAGTGTCACTACGATTTCTCCCTTCTGCCGGAAAACAGATAGAGTAATGAATTCGAGTAAAGGAGCAAGAAGAAATGCTTCCCAGAACGAACCACTGTTGAGCCACGGCGAGCGGCTCAATTGCTCGCTCGCCGGATGCGATTCTATCCAAGGCCCGAGCGAGTTTGTCGTGTGATTACGACGGAAAGCGTGATACCGATTCGCAATGAATGAGTACGACAGCAAAGAGCATGAACACATGAATTAGCATGAGAAAAATGATGCGATGATTTCGCCGGCCTGAACGAATTTGTCGTGAGTAATCAACAGTTATTGTTCTTAGGAATATCTGATATGGAGATTCCCTTTGTCCAATGTATGCCTCTCTGGTATCTGAATAATAGCACGACGCATCAGCATGCACAACTGTGCTTACAGTTTGGAATCTTAATTCACGGGTCGATTCGCAGGCGAATTGAAGCAACGCCTTCGGCTTATCTTGGACATGGCGAATTCAATGAGGAGACCTCTGAGCCTCGTGAAGAAACTCCACAGATCACGAAAAAACACTGCTTAGGTCTCTCGTACTTGTCGCTGAATCTCTCGAAGAATGTAGGCAAACCGCGCGTGAGTCCCAAAGTTCTTTTTGTCGAAGATGTTCACAACGGAAAACTCTGATTGGAGTTCAAAAAGATATATGGATGCAGAGTCGGATTCTCCCATCGCTCCCATGGAGCAGGAAAAATGGTTGCACAGTAATGAAACAGGTGAAATATATGGGCATCGCTTGTCAGATACGCTGAAGAATTATAGAAGAAATTTCGGAAAGCATTACGTTCGATCTCGTCGCTCTCGATTCTCCTCTGAAAACCCCGATAATCAAACTTGATAATTTTCCGGAAAAACTCGAGAACGATGCGATTGATCGAGTGGAAAAGTACTCCTTACGCTAGCGGGA